AAAATAATAAATCAATAATTTACATATAATTAAATTATACATAAAATTACAATACATTAAAGTGTAAAATACAACTTTCATAGTTTATCATAAGAAAGAAAAAAATTAAATTAATAATAAAATAGCCATTAAATTAAAAATATAGATAAGCTAAAAAATAATAATAAAAAACATATATAATGTTATTTTGTTTAAATAATTTATTAAATTTAGAAGTTAAAAATTGTAATAAGAAATTAACAATCTATTTTTATAATTAAATTTTTTTAAATAATTATAAATATCATATCTTATGAAAATTATATAATTATTTAATCTTATTATTAAATTAAGGAGAAAAGTGATAAAATAAATAGTTTTTCTACCAAATAACAATAAAATACTTTGTAATAAAAAACACAATATAAAATAATTTATTAAAAGTTTATACATGAAACATTACACCAATTTTATTTTATTAAAATACAATATAATTAAAAGTGATAAAAAGTAATATGTTTAATGAATTATTTAATTTAATTTATATTTTAACTAGTTAATAAAATTAATATATTTTGGTGTTTTTTGTTCAAGTGATAATGGATAAAAATATATCAATTAAGATTTCAATTTAAAAAATGATATTGTGATTTTTTTATATACATAATTTTTTTTCTTAACTTGAAAAGTTGGATTCTCACCCTTATGAAAATGTTTTTGTGAAAAAGTGGGGTAAAAATAATTTTCAAAAAAACTATATTTCTTAAAAATCTTTTATTTTTAAATAGCTACCAAGCATGAAAAATTAAGACTCACAATTTAACTAAACAAGTAAAAAAAATTGCCTACCAAATATCTCCTTTATAGTTTGAAATTTTGGTATGCAATGCCTAATTTAGGATATTATTGGTGTAACCATATCATTGTCATTATGTTTAAACGCACATTTTTGGTCGTAGTATATTAATAGTTAACCATCACTATCCAACTTTCGTGTAATTCGTCAAATTTGATAAAAATTTTCAAAGTCAATCAAGGATGTAATAATCCCCTTCTCATCACATTTACGAATCTTCAACTAGTAGTGGAACTAAATTACTTAGAATTATACATTCACAACTACTTGAATATATACTATTTAACATTCATAACAGTGTGAAATACGACTATTCAAATATGAACATATATATATATAATAATTTTGCAATTACAAAATATATAACTTAAGTGATGATCAATCACAACTATACAAAAGTTACTCAAAAGTAGCACCAAAATACAACAACAAGCACCATCTGTCCAATGGTCTCCATTGGTACACCTCAATAAAATCTATCCTTTATTTACTCTCATAACAAATATGATTATTGTAGTTTTAAACTTCATGAAAAACATGTAAGGGTAAGCATATATAATAAAAACAACACATTTTTATAACACCACCATACATTTAAGCAACATGAATAACAATTTCACATCCGACTTGCTAACAATACTACACAGACAATTTGCACATAAAACAACTCAACAACTTCATTACAACAACATGATCATCATATAACAATATTCAACTAATGCATCGTCATATATATTCTCTACGAAAATCTCTTACAATGGAGATAAACAGTTTAAGTGATTAGATCCTATCAAATTACAATGTTTGACCTATCTCAATCAGGTTAGGTATAGATAATGTAGGCTTCATAGAGTGCTAAGTATAGAAAACTTGTAACATATTTTTTTTTGTAATTATTTATCTTTATAATTTATGTAAATTATTATATGTTTTATTGTGATAAATTGCTTCTTAGAGTCTTCTTCCTTGACATCTCTCCAAGGAATTCGAGAAGCATTGAAGGTATTCTTGAGGATTCACAAGTGGAACTTCATCAAGTAACATGACACATCTTTCTAAAATATCTCCCGCTTCATCCATCGTTAATGTTGAATTTGTAAAGAAATAGAGATAAATACTTGTTCTAAGCTCATCTCTAAATTAAAATTATAAAATAATATAAATAATGAAAATAATAATACAATTTAATAAATATTTAAATTTATTATAACAAAAACTTTATTATAAAAATAATTAATTAGATGTGATATTTTTTTAAAAAAATTTTGAATTTTGAGATACAAATTGTGATGGTTTGATGTCTTTAAGTTTTTTTAAAAATAAAAATATTAAATTAAATTTTAATGGATTGATTTAAGTGTATCTCTTTATTAATTTTATATTTTAGGGTGGATGAATTTTGATAACTCAGAAATCCTAAATTTAATGAAAGAAAATTTTAATTAAAAATATCAACACAAACATTTTCTACAAAATAAACTTTTGACTTTGATTCTTCATTACACTGAAAGATATGTAGACTCTGATTTTCTATTGCATCAAAAGATACGTAAGAACATGAAACCAACCACATTGAATTCCTCAAAAATAAAAATTGATTTTTACTTTTTTTAAAAAAAATTATTAGTTAATTAAATAAAATTCCCTTATTTTTGTAATTAATTTTTAGTTGTGTTTTAAGGTGAGATAAATGTTTCAAAATGTTATAAATGATTTGTTTAATCAATTAGGATAATCATCTAAAATGATAGATGTTGTAGAATACTAATACCTTCGTTATATACAAATGACTTTTGAATAAAAATTTGTTTTCAAATAACTTTTGTCTTTTATTATGTTTTCCAATATTTTTCTATATTACATATTTTCCAATATATACATTCTGCCTTCTGCTTCTTCATAGGCTACTATAAAACATAATATGTACAAAGCAGAATGTTTATCTGCTCACGTTGACCCAATTCAAGGTGACAAAACTTCATGAAGATCCACATTTTCATCGTCTCATATCAAACCTCAAATGCTTCCAAAGCTTTCCATCCTTATTTACTAGTTTTGTTTCTAATTGTTTGCCTGTTTGGTGCATTGTCATAGAGAGAAGCAAAGTCCTCACTCGCCCTTGCTTTAGCTCTGCCTCCCAAAGCATACCACATATTCATGTTTCTGCAGCACCAAAAGCTAAGACAGACTCGATGCTGAAATTCTGTGTCTCTCAAAATGATCATATGCGTATTTGGTTCTTAGGAACAACAACACACTAGAAGCTAGTCCTACGACAGACACTCCTCCCCACCAGACAAATGTCCAGAAATAGCACTTCCTTCCCATGCACACCAGTGAGTCAGCCATCATGTCTCCCGAGGTTGACTGAGCATGCATATCATAAACCAATGCAGCCAGAAAACCATACAGAAGCGACCCAATTGGGATGTTTGTTATGAGAATGTTGTGATTGACGCTCACACTGTTGGGTCCAAATAGCTCAGATGTAACTGCCACAGCAGCCGCAAATATGAAACCAGAACTCAAACCAATCAGTGCAGTGCCTGTGTTAAGTGCTGCAGCACTGTCTGATGCAGCAAGAACTATAAACGCAACTGGGGTTGGAACCAGCGCAATGGCTAGCCATCCGGTCCTTGCAAAGTAGAACTTACTGCATTTTGGAAAAGTATTATTGTCATAACTGCTACAAATTTATTTTACAAGATTTAATCCTGAATCAAGAGAATTAAAAAAAAAACAAAAAAAAGGAGTTTAACCCGTGATGCATACAGTCAATATAAAAGTTTTTATATTATCATCCAGTCATCATCTTTGATATGACCAATAAAAAAAATAAAATAAAAAGGTTAACATGCATGCATGATCTGTATATACTATAATATATTTTATACGATCAAAAATCACGTATCAATTTATCATAATTTATCATAAAAATGGATAAAATTATCATACATGACCATAAAAATACTTTACTGTCTTTAGTGCTTGAATTATTTATTCAGAAAGTCGTCACTTTTCTCCATGATAACTGATAAGCTCCAAAAACTGATGCAACAGATATAAGATAATGGTGAGAATACTTACTTCCGAATATAGTCTGGTACAGCTGAAAGCAAACGGCCAAAGAAGGAAAATGCGGAGTATAGTGTGACAAGGGTAGATATACTTGAACTCTGGCCTAAAGATTGAGCTATCTGTCCTAGATTATTGCTGTAGACAAGACCAATTGTGCCTCCGCAGAAGTATGCAACATAATAGAGCCAGAAATCCAACCTTTTGACAACCACTGCAGCAGGGTGCTCTTCTCCTAGCATTACCAACTGATCCTGACCTAGCATCTTCTCACAACCAACATTGCTAGATTTTGCCCTCTGACTTCCATACATTGATTCATTCTCACCTAGTAGGCTGTGACCATCTCCATTGCTGAGAGCACTGCTTTGACGGGTGAGGAGTTCCTTATGAAGCTCAAGATCATCAACATGAACAAGAATGAAGCCAGAGCCTTCCAACCGAAAGCTGTAATGGATGGCTTGGTGAAACCAGTCTCGAGCATATATGGTACCAGGGATACATAGTGGGGATACGAGGAGAAAAATGGCACCACCAAAGTAGAGTCTCGATGTGGCTTCATCAGAATTTGATGAGGCAAAGAGGAGGAGGTAAGTGCCAGTGAAAATGGCTAAGAAGTTGAGTATGAGAAATATCACTGAGTTTCTGCGAGCAGCCTCTGGAGATCTAGAGAGGGAGTTTAAAGGGGGTTGGAGAAGAATTGGGACTAGTGCTACAAGGGAAGTGAGAAGGGGAACAAGGGCATTCAAGAGAAGATACAGTGTATCAGATGAAGGGTCTATTGAATTGGCAGCCAGTGTGTAGAGTGCTGCACTCACACCATTGAAACTCACTGTGAGTGATAATGCAAGGGGTCTGTTAACCGGGAAATTCCTAATGCAGAGAACAAAACACACTGTGTTGAACCAACAGATGCTACAGCCACTCAACAGACACAGAAGAAAGAACTGCCACATACAAAGTAAAAGCTAGTTAACTCAATTGACTAAAATATAAGCAAATCTCCGTAATCTATTCCAACTAGGTGATTATTAATTGCCACTTTCGAGTCGATCAACATATATAGTTTTGTTAGCACTAGTAAACGACACAAGAATCTCATAATGCATGTTTCTTTAGCGACTAGCTAGGGAATCGTACCAGTTACCGCATAATATCACCACCAAGAGTACTTCAAATTACTGTAAGGTTTGGGGAAAGCAAAAGATTGGAGTGGAAATTAAATTAAAACAAAATTTCTAAAGTGGTTTTCATTTATCATTTATATGAATAATTTATTGCGTAAGTATCATTGTTCTATTATTCTATTGATGACTTTTTTGTCGTGGCATCCTGATGCTGTAGCTGAGTAGCGTATAGAAAAGAACCACGTCAGTTGGGTTCGGGAACCATCATTTGGAGTTTGGTCGCTGGTATCAGCAGAATGAACAAAGTGACAGTTGAAAAGTTGCGGAATGAAAACGATGTGCCAGGAAAACATGACCACAAAACACTAGATATTAAATAGAAGATTTATGGAGGCAATTAAGACAGTTATGGCCTCATAACTTCTATACTTTTCAAAAAATATGCCGTCCATTCAAAACTAGTCAATATAACGACATTTTCAAACTTGCAAAAGCTGCAATTTTTATTAGACACATCATTGGAATCTTTAGAATGAATTGTCTGTAGTAATAAAAATCACCGTACCAGATTCCAATACTATATACTTATTTTAAAATTAAAATTTAAAAGAATATATAATAAAAACGTCACACATGAATACGGTCAGTCTTTTTTTCATTTTTTTTTTTCACATAAACTCAAAAAATTATAAATACTAAAAGTATCACTCAGTGGCTCAATGAAAATGCAAAGTGCAGACAAAGGACAAAGACATCCTAACAATTAACATGGGAGTTGCACAACAATCCCGAATAAGAAGGTAAACGATTATAATTTCTCAAGAAGGAAAAAAATCGATAGAAGCTCAAAAAGCGAACGCCCTATATCTAAGGGGACCCAGAATAATTAATAGTATATCCTTTATTTACTAGCATTTTCCTTAAAGAGAAAAGTCCTTTTTTTTGAAGAAAAAAAATCAGTAATATGTATTTATTAAAATAATAATAAATGATGATAACTTCGCTCATCCTCAAAAATTTCCCTCCCTCCCGAGGAGATTTTAGTGTCTGTGCCTCTGTGGAATGTGTAGTTCTTCTCCTTTAAAATTTAAAATAAAATATACGGTTAATTTTTCTTTTCTAAAATAAAATAAACAAAACACTAAATTAGTAAGAAAAATATTATTTTTTTCATAAACAGTGAGTATTCCATAGTACCAAAGACTAATTTAGTAGAACAAACATTATTCCAATAATTATTTTTATTATATCAGGTTTTGTTTTTATATCATTATATTTGTCAGATATTAAAAACATCCTTTCTAAATAACTAATCTTATAATCTTCTAATATCTTATGTATAATAGTTAGAGACACCAAAAATTTGGACAATTTAGTTAACATAAAACCAATTATGACAAAATTAAGTTAACCAAATAAAAATAAACGGAACGGTTATCGCAGCAAGTGAAGGCCACGACTTATGAATTCAAAAATGGCAAGTTGCTCCCTAACTAACTGCTAACATGTTGCGTTTGAACGAAGAATGAGAATGAGTTAACGATGATATTGTATATAACAAAAGATAACGAACCATAGGATAGGGCAGGGTGATGATGTCCTGGATGGCGAGCCACTGGAGGCCGTAACCGACGAGGCCCATGAAGGAAGCAACGAGGAGAACGAGAGAGAGGGGAAAGTACATGAGGGCGAGGCCGGAGGACCAGCCGAAGAGCTTGCCGATGTCGCTGGCGGTGGCGAGGTAGTTGAGCTGCACCTGGGAGATGTTGAGGGAGGATTTGAGGGAGGAGGAGTAGTCGGAGAAATCGAAGTTGGTGCCGGTGAAGGCCTGAATCCATATGGTGGCAACCAAGATCATCCACTTCCGAGATTGCCCCGCCATAGGGAATAGGGATCGCTTTCTCTCTTTGCTTGCGTCTTCCTCTACGTGGCCTTCTGTGTCGCATGGAATTCCAAACTTATATAGCATCCGCATAGCCACACAAAATCCTCGCCTCTTTTAGTACACACCAATTTTATTTAAATATATATATAAATTCCCAATATGTCAAAAAATAAATATCTATAGTACAGTTTTTTTTTTTTTGTTGGTGTCCATATTGGTGACTAATCTCCTCGCTACGAGGGAGGTACCTCAAAGGGTTAACGCGGCTGTATACACAAGGCGATTTGAACTCCTGACTTTACTTAAGCGTAGATCAACCCCTACCGCTGAATCACTATATCTATAGTACAGTTGCTATTTTTTATTATTATATCTTTTAAAAAAATTATATTTTACATTATTTTTAATTAATCAATAGTTTAATATTTACACTATAATTAAACACGTAACATAATTTTAATTTTACTTTTTTCTCATGTTAGTTCATATATATTTCAAAAATAGTATCTTTAATAAAAAAATTTACATCCAAATTAAAGACTGAATTCTAATTCTTAATTATAAATTACAAATGTCAAATTATTTATACTAATTATTGTTGATTAAAAAAAAATTTATTCATAAAAAAATTATATAATATTTTAAAATTAAAAATTAAAAATTAATATGTGTTCGCAGGATATGACTTTTACATTTTCTTTTAATTGATCAATTCTTATTTTAATTTAAATTTGTGCATGTAAAAATAAGTATTATCTTCACGTCCATGTGCTACAAGTTTGCTGCATCTAGTTTGGTGTATCACAAGTATTGAATTGTTAGTTATTAGTTGTTGGAGTTCTGGTAAATTTCTTTGTAATTAGCTTAAATTTCCATTTAGAAGTATGGTTTGTTTTAGTGGTTTGTATTTGGTGAATTGGTGATTTATTACTAATATACTCTGTTATGTTTTATCTTTATATGGGTCGGAGTATCCCTTGTACTTTCTTTTAAATATTATTCACTTTTGCTTAAAAAAATAAATAAATAATTTTTTTTAATATACTATTATTTTGCCGTATAGATTTTCTCTCATCCGTTGGTTTGCAAAGCCCACGGATTATATTTCATATAGGGGTGGTTTAGCCCAAAAAAATTATATTCTCTTACTAACTTTTTTTATAAAATATTTCGTTTTTATTTAATAAATTCTGTTAGTGAATTATTCAATATTGTTGGTCAAATTTTATATAAATTGAATATTCTATATTATCTTAATATTTATTTATATCTTAAAAGTTTAATATATAATAAATCAAGTTAATATGAAATATTATATAAATTTTAAATTATAAAATTATATTATTGATCTGTTTAATGAGACCTCTCAAACCAAAAATTATATTAATGTAATTTAAGGTTTATAAATTAAACCACAAATTGACATACATTATTTCCATCTTAAAAATAATACAATTTTTTTTAAATAAAATATATATATATATATATAACTTTATAACTTTTATTTACTTGTACTTTTAAATTATATTTATACTTAAAATAAAATTATTGAATAAATTTTTAATTTATTTTAAAATTATATGTTTCATAAACTTTATATAAAAATCTTCAAATTTAGTTATTCAATCGATAAAAATCAATATTTATGTAAAATTATTAAACAAAAAATTAGAAAAAGACTTATTTATGAAATAAGTGAATATTGTTTTTATCTTATTTGACTAGTTGCAAGAATATAAATAATTTTTTCTTGACAAAATCATTTAAAAAAAATAAAGACAAATAATAATAAATATACGTAACTATATACTAATCATTAGATTATTAAGTGTGTGTTTGGTTCAGATTTTCAACGTGATAAATCACGTTAGAATGGACGCTATTAGCTATAACTTTTACGTTTTAAACGTGATTTTTGCTCTGAATCATGTTTTGGACGTGTAACCAAACATGCACTAAGAGGTGAGACATTGGGAGAGAAATAAGAAAGGATTCTAGATAAATAAGCCGGGTACGTTTTAATATTTTATAGAAAATTCTATTTTAGCTTTATACTTTTTTCTCATTATTTTTTTTATAAACTTAAAAAAAAAGTTATTATTTAATTTATTTTTTCTGTGAAAACATAAATGTTAAAAAAATAAAACTGCTCGTATAACAATAAGAATCAACGACAACTCTTGCAATTTGACACAATTATGCTTTAATTGATATTCGAATCAAGTTACCTTAACATGAAAGAAATCATATTCGTTTATTGTTGTTTTATAGCGGTATTTCAAGTGAACCACTAAATTCAATTTCATCCATAAACGTGTGACATAAGCAAATACACCTAAAAACAAATAACATATACACACTCGTAAAATTTGGTGTTTCACTTTATTTATTTATCGTAGTTTTGGACATTTAACTAATTGTCAACGCTACATAGAAGGGGGTGTTTGACTCTTTGTTGTGTGTGTCTGACTTTAAACAACAGTCACTTTTCTTTTTAAAGTCAAGCAAATAAAAGTAAGACGTAGACGATGCCACAATGGGACACGAGATCGATCAATTTTTCTTTTAAATCATTGTGGTGCTTTATAAACTTTTTCTTTAGATTCTCCTCCAAAATTTTATTTTAATTCTTTTAAATAATTTTATTCGTTTACCATATTAAAATCATCAATTTGGCGACACATTATTTTTTTAAAGAAATGTCACATCAAATAAATGTTTAAGATTGATCATATCATAGTTCAAAAATGAAAAAATTGACTAAAAAATACATTTAATCTAATGATATGTTTTAAGAGAATAAAATAATATTTTTTAAAATTAAGAGATCAAATTTAAATAAAATAAAAAAAGATGAAGAATTAAAAGTATATTTTAATCGAAAAACTTATTTATCAAATATAACAAATATCTAATTAGGTATTGTCTCACAATTTTATAATTAATTACTATTAAGTTAAATTGATTTGTTGGCATCTACATATATTATTCAACTAACTTTTTAATTAAGTTATTATAGTTTCAAAAGTTATAATACTTTTTTTTTAAAAAAAATGTAACTAAATATATACTTAAAAACTACTACCATCAATCGTAAAGCTTCATAACTTTTGATGTTGTGGCCATGCTGGTTACCATTGATTCAATCTGGCCGTAACATAAGCAACTAAGCATGATGGATAAGTGTTATGTATTATGGGCAAATAGAGTGCATTTAATATACATTAAAGGTACAAGATAAGAAAAATAGTATAAAATAAATACTTAAATTATTAGACAACTTTTTATTAGAATATTATACGGTAAATATATAGTATAAATAAAACAATGTTAAATTTATAGCAAATTCTTTTTTTAGTATTAATATAATAAATGAAGATGATGATAGTGAGAATTGTGATGAAGATAATAATATTGATGATGTTGATAGTGATAAGAGTAGAGACAACAGTGACAGTGATAAAAACACAAATGATGATAGGTAGTGTAACACTGTACATTTTTATTTAATCATTGTTGATTTGTTGTTATCTCTGTTGTGTTGGAGTTTTTGGGGTCAAAAGGACCATTAAGATAGTTAAGTTGTTTCTAAGATAATTTTAGACAAAACCAAATTGGTTTAACTTAAGAAAGAGTATACAAAGTTTTCCTTAAAACTTGAACATAAGTTCATGTTTTAATAATAAAAAAAAATTAGACAGAAGTTAGAGAGAAAGTCTATGGCCCGAAAACCTTCTTCTTCCTCTTTTTCTAGTAAAAACCATTCATTTACCCTTCCCTATAGCTGATCCAAGGTGATCAAGTGGTAGATTCAAGCTTTTGAACAAGAATTAGTTTTGTTATTGGTGGTGGTGCGGAGTTCTCGAAGTCTAGTTTCGCTTCCTCTTCATCTTTGATTTTGGAACTTTCAAAAATAAAGGAAGCTAGAGCTCTATCCTGGTTGATAATGTAGTTGAATGAGTTTAAACTCATTGAATTTCATGGATATGTTGTTATTGATCGAGGATTTGGGTTTTTTTAGTTTTGAGGTTTTGGTACCTTGGAGAAGACTAGTAGAGTTTGAACTAATCAATCCTTGCATATTGTTTTTGTTGATGGAAATGAGATGCTAGTGATGTGTGATGTTTATTTATCCACTTACATGTTGAGATTTGTTGAGTTTTAGGTGTGGAGAGTTAAATATGTGAATCTACTAAATACATAATTCACCATTGCATTGGGTATAACTTCATGGCATTAGACGTGACTTGAGTTAGAGGCTCTCTGTCTCACTAACGTTATGCGTAGGATTGGTAATGCCTAGCATAAGTTAGAAGGGAGTTATCTAATTTGGTCATGTCAAGAGTAGGTTGAATGGTGTTGGGCATGAGAGCCTTGGTAACATCGGACGTTAATTGAGAGGCATTAGGCATCATCAAGTTAGAGGCTTTCTGCCTAGATGATGTTGGGCACTAGTCCAATAACATTAGGCATGAGTTAAATAGAGGCTCTCAGCCTAAAATAGGTTCGAACATGGGTTTAGCCACGTCAAACATGATTGTCACATGGGTGAGCTCGAGAGCTCTTTACCTCAATGATGCTAAGCGTGATAAGATTGGCACTAGGTGTGGGTTGCCTTATGAAAATGTTTTGTTTTCTTGATGAAATGTTGACCATGTATACAGTAATTGTATTTACTAAATGTTGTATGTTGATATATGTTGCTTGTTTCTTATACATTGACCCAAGATAATGTATATAGATAATTATTTGGTTGAAAATATTGAAAGGATGGTGTTGAGAATGTTTAATACATTGAGATGTTTTGTGTTGATTAACTTAGGATTAGATAAAATAGTGTTTTAAAAGATGAATATCTCATCGTGAGGATATTATTGTGGTGCTCTACAAGTCCCGTTATCGAAAAATCCTTATTGAATAGTTGACTCTTGAAGTGGATAGAGTCTCTTTTAGGATCTTAGTTAATGTGGTATGTGGGCAATTCAAGATATACTGATTATAAGTGACGATAGTATAGGGGTCACGTCAAGCTATACTAATTATAAAATGACCATTGTTGATTCATATGGGACCAAGTCGAGTCATACATGTTTAAAGTGATCATATGAGTAAGATACAAGGTCAAGGGCCAAAATCCCTAACAAAGTA